TTCTTGAGTGACTGTCTTCATACTTGTATTCTATCTACCAAATGGACTAAAGCATCCAGGTATGCAGGTCCAAGACAGGCAGTTGTCAATATAAGGGACAGTGGCTTAGGGACAGACAGGGTCTGCTCAGCCCTCTCACACACACCCCTTCCCAGGAGCTGAGTGCATTCCCTCGGGAGGTAGGAGGTTCTGGAGCTGGGTTGCATCCCGTTGTCTACCCCTGCACGGCCTTGCTGCTGCTCTGCCTTTTCTCCACCATCATCACCTACATCCTTAACCACAGGTGAGCACTGCTCCAGGGAGGAGGGAGTGTGGGGCCGGGGGGTGGGGGTGGGGGGAGGCTCCCCACAGGCTGGCAGAAGTTTCTTCTTCAGGCAGGTCCACATGACCTGGCTAGGCTCTGGGGTTGAAGAGCACATTTTGGGGGTGAGGAAGTGGAAGTGGGGGGGATTAAGGACGTCTTTCCCATGGCCTGGAGCACATTTATGCACATACCCATAGATCATTTGCGTTCTCTTTTTTGGCTCTCCCAGTGGTCTTAAGACACTGTAGGGTAGCGGTTTTCAACCACCCTAATGCTGAGACTCTTTAATACAGTTCCTCATGTTATGGTGACCCCTCCCCAACCATAAAATTACTTCATTGCTACTTCATAACTGTACTGATACGAATCATAATGTAAATACCTGATAGGCAGAATCTTTGATAAATAACCCCTGTGAAAGGGTCAGGGGTCTGGACCCACAGGTTGAGAACTGCTGCTGTAGGGGGGGGGGTTGGACAGCTCATTAATAAAGACTCTTTCTGGGGCAGCTCCATCCACGTGTCCCGGAAGGGTTGGCACATGCTGTTGAATCTGTGTTTCCACATGGCCATGACCTCTGCTGTCTTCGTGGGGGGCATCACTCTCACCAACTACCAAATGGTGTGCCAAGCGGTAAGAAGGGGATGGGGCACTCCAAACTGAGTGACTTCAGAGGAAGAGGGGGCAGAGCAAGAAGAATAAGGTTTATGGACACAGCCCCCAGCTCCTCTGTTCTCTGCGCGAGCCTTGTAGGGTTGGGAAGGGGGTGATGTGTAGAGTCACAGGAATGAATGGTCAGACTAGCTCCAAAAACGCTGGAGATGGAGTTTCAAAGTGGAGAGCGGGGGGCATCCTAGTGGAGGAGCGGTCATGTGTCAGCCAGACTGCTGTGTCTGGGTCCTGGAGAACCCCTGGGGTGAGAGAGAGAGAGGAGAGAGAGAGAGAGAGAGAGAGAGAGAGAGAGAGAGAGAGAGAGAGAGAGAGAGAGAGAGAGAGAGAGAGAGAGAAATATCCTGCTGGAAGCAGAGAGGGCGCCAGCAGGGACCAGAATGATGAGTACCTGGGTGGGATGCTGGAGACATGGGCAGAGTGGGAACATACACGGCCATTGACGTTCCAGGGTGTAGCCCAGTCAGCAGCTCAGGTCCCAAGCCTCAGTGCCTTGACCTTGTAGGTGGGCATCACTCTGCACTACTCGTCCTTGTCCACGCTGCTCTGGATGGGGGTAAAGGCTCGTGTCCTCCACAAGGAGCTCACTTGGAGGGCACCCCCTCCAGAAGAAGGGGATGCGGCCCCGCCTGGTCCTCGCCCCATGCTCCGGTGAGTGCGCTCAGCTCTCGGCTATGGGGAGGGGCCTCAAGACCCAATAATAGGCGTAGCAAAGCTGGGGTGTCTGGGGGCGGGTACAGGATCCCCGGAGATCTCTCTCCAGAGGCTAGAGACAAGCTTCTCAGGCGTGATAAGGATAGGGAAAGGAGTTGACACCAAAGGGCATTGGGTGGGAATCCTAAAAACCTTCGTGACATCCCTCCCTTGGACTGTTTAAGGTTGGAGAGAACAATTTCGGCTCTTGCCCCTCAGAGCACAGTTCTTGGCCAAGTTCTGAAGAAGCTGCCCTTCCCTTAGGAGGCCTTACATCCCTGCCCTCCCCCCACCTCCCCAAGTCACACAGATTTTAAGAGGACAGAGGAGATGATAGAGACATTCAATTCAAGGGCTCCGAGCACCTGGTTCTCTTACCTCCAGCGCTCCATTTCTCTGACCTTCAAACCCCGCCCTCCCCCAGGTTCTATTTGATTGCTGGAGGGATCCCCCTCATAATCTGCGGCATCACCGCTGCGGTCAACATCCACAACTACCGGGACCACAGTCCCTAGTGAGCGCCTCTCCCTCCTGCCCCATCATCCCCATCTGCCTGCCCCAACCTCCACACCAGCCCCCGGCCCGCTGTTCCACCCAGCCAGAGCGCCCCCTGCATGCCGACTAAGCCAGGTCCTGCCTCACCTCTCTACTTCCCACGTCCTACCTCATCAACCACCCAGCCTGGGCCCCGCCTCCAGGGCTCTCCAAACCCTTCATCCACTATACCTCTGTCTCCCCCTAGTTGCTGGCTGGTGTGGCGTCCGAGCCTTGGTGCCTTCTACATACCGGTGGCGTTGATTCTGCCCGTCACCTGGATCTACTTCTTGTGTGCGGGCCTGCACTTACGGGGTCACGTGGCCCAGAATCCTAAGCAGGGTAACAGTAGGCTCTCTCCGGAGCCAGGGGAAGACCTGAGGGGTTCCACCAGGCTCAGGAGCAGTGGCGTCCTCCTGAGTGACTCTGGTTCCCTTTTGGCTACAGTTAGCGCAGGGGGAGGGACACCTGCGCCCCCCGAGGTTGGTGATGGCGTCTATTCTCCGGGAGTCCAGCTGGGGGCGCTGATGACCACGCATTTCCTGTACCTGGCTATGTGGGCCTGTGGCGCCTTGGCCGTGTCTCAGCGCTGGCTGCCCGGAGTGGTGTGTAGCTGTCTCTATGGTGTGGCAGCTTCGGCTCTGGGCCTCTTTGTCTTCACGCACCACTGTGCCAGGCGTAGGGATGTCCGGGCTTCCTGGCGCGCCTGCTGCCCTCCTGCTTCACCCTCGGCCTCCCACGCCCCACCCCGGGCCCTGCCGACGGCTGCGGACGAGGGATCCCCAGTGCTGGGGGAGGGACCAGCCTCCCTCAAGTCCTCCCCAAGTGGCAGCAGTGGCCGCGCGCCGCCGCCCCCGTGCAAACTCACCAACCTGCAGGTAGCCCAGAGTCAGGTGTGCGAGGCCGGCGTGGCTGCCCGCGGGGATGGAGAGCCAGAGCCCACGGGCGCCCGTGGCAGCCTAGCTCCCCGGCACCATAACAACCTGCACCACGGACGCCGAGTACACAAGAGTCGGGCCAAGGGGCACCGAGCCGGAGAGACTGGCGGCAAGAGCCGGCTCAAGGCGCTGCGCGCGGGCGCGTCCCCGGGAGCTCCCGAGCTGCTGTCCAGTGAGAGCGGCAGCTTGCACAACAGCCCCTCCGACAGCTACCCCGGCAGCAGCCGCAATAGCCCCGGCGACGGCCTCCCACTCGAGGGTGAGCCCATGCTCACGCCGTCGGAGGGCAGCGACACCAGCGCAGCGCCGACCTCGGAGACGGGGCGCCCCGGGCAGCGCCGCTGCGCCAGCCGGGACAACCTCAAGGGCAGCGGCAGCGCACTGGAGCGGGAGAGCAAGCGCCGCTCGTACCCGCTCAACACCAGCAGTCTGAACGGCGCCCCCAAGGGGGGCAAGTACGAGGATTCCAGTGTGACCGGTGCAGAGGCCATGGCGGGAGGCTGCATGAAGACCGGCCTCTGGAAGAGCGAGACCACTGTCTAGGGCAGAGGCGGGCCAGATTTAGGATGGGCCGGCCACACCGGCTGGCTTGTTTATTCCCAGATCCTCCTGGGCGGTCCAAGCTGTCTACCTATGTGCAGGTTTGAGGTGGCCGTGCCCGTGGCTGCTCCTGGGCTCACCATCTTTAGTTACCGGGGCTGGGGAAGGGAGAGGCAGATGCTTGCCGGTTGTCTGGTGGACTATCCCCTCGGCAGTAGCGACAGACAATCCCAGACATCAGTTTAGACCAGTTTTGATGGTCAAAGTTTTTGGTGTGCCCTTCCAGGTAGGGGGTAAAAGTTCCGTCGGTCTGTGGGGTGACCCGCAAACGGAGTGGAAAAGCACAGCCCAGGTAGGCGCAGGAAACCTGGGAACTGCCTTTTCCTCACCAGCCTCAGGAGGCACCGTGTGACTGCCAAGATCCCAGGCCTCTCGCCCAGTTTTGGCCTGGGAAACCATCCTAGCAGGTGAGCCAGGTGCCCTGCCGGGGGAGTAACAGGTGCTGCCTTTTCAGATCAACTATGCAAGGGGGAGGGGCAGTGTGTAGGCAACTCTAGAGGTCAGCTAAGTCCCGTGGGACAGGGGGCAGGTGGGAGAGAGGTGCCCAGTTAGGGAGACATGATCCCTAGGGGGTGGTACACAAGTCTTCCAGAACAAAACCTGAACCCTGAGCACCTGAGAAAGTGATGCCGCCAGGTGCCTAAAGCCTCAAGGCGAGGGAGCTGCTATTTGGATCCGGGCACCACCTGTCTCAAGAGTGGGTCCACTTAGCTGCTCAATTACAACACCCACTGCCTGCTCTCAGCTGTCCATCTCCAAGGGACTGAGGAAAAAATGCCTCCATGAGGCTTCTGTGGCCAAGCCATGGTGATAATCCGATTTCTAACTCCAGTTAGAAGCCTAAAATGCCAAACCATCTCCCAACTCACTGAAACCTGACCAGACTCGGAGGCAGTACCTGGGTCCTGGCTGCCCAAGAGTCTGCTTTCACTACTCGATAAAAACCCCAGCAACCATTTTCCCCCAGCTTAAAATGCCTTCTACTAGAATCACATGGAAGGAGAGGAAACCTTGGGCCTTTTGAAGCAGTAGGGTACCCAGGTCTGGTCAGGTGGGAGAACACAGTGGGGGAGAATCCACACTCCTTGAGATGGGTCCCATTATTTATGCTTGCTGCACAGACAATATTAGAGGGAAGCTTTGTATTACTCTACCACACATGCTGGCTGCTGTTTACATACCCTGCCGACGCCTTAGCACTGGAGAGCTTTTTGCAATATGCCGGGGAGGGGGGGGGGGAGACGACAAAGTGCCAAAGAAAATCTGTTTTAAAAGTTCTGGTTTTATACAACAGAATGTTTTCTAGCAGATGCCTCTCTGTTTTAATATATTAAAGTCTTGCAAAGCCCTTTGAGCGACAGCCTTAGTCCACCCATGGTCCTTTTGTTAATGATGTAGCAGAGCTTATGAAAGTGTGAGACCACTAGAACCTAACTGAGCCTGGGCCAGGAGTCGCGGCTCCTGCTCATGTGACGGTTGACACCATGAGGATTGCCAGCTCTTTAACAGCAATGTTTACTTCACATCGAGGCAGAAGAGAGCTGGGCGGATCTTCAGCAGTCTTAGGAGGGATCCATCCCAGACTGGAGACGGCCAGCTTGCCTGCCTGCACCAAGGACAGGCTTTCCCACCTATAGACATTCCACAAGCCTCCCAACTTCTCTAGGGCGTTGGGTCCAATTAACTGCTCCTCTTGGTTCCTTTAAATAAGAAAGGAATATCCCAAGGGCATCTACATTTACTTCTGGCAGCACGGCAGGCCTATTAACAAACTGTAGTCAGAATTTTTGAATGCGCCTTGAAGAATGTGCATCAGTGCGGGTAAGGACACTCGTGGCTCCCTGGCCAGCAGCTTGGGCTCTCTCAAAGTCTCTGACTTCCTGAGGGGTGCGCAAATATTGCTCGATTTCGCTGTCGGAAATGTTCTCGTCTCCGGTCACTACAGAAACGGGGGGCGGGGGGTGGGTCCGTTTGGGAGGCTTCAACATACAGGGTGGGAGGAGAGGCGCGGGGCTGGCAGGGCGTTTCCTCTTGGGCAAATCACAGGTACCATCCCCCGCCTCCTCTCGCTGTGCCTGCCCCCGCTGCTCTTGCTTGTGGGTCTCCACTTCCGATGGTCCATCTCGAAAGGCCATGCGGACCAGCATGTGGCGGTGCTGGAGAAGGTCGCCGATGTGTTTCACCACGGTCCGCTTATCGAGCTTCAGCACTTGCAGCCAGGCCAGCTGGCTGGCCATCCGGAGCAGCACAGCCAGGAGCTCCTGCAGGCGGGAGGCAGCCGGGTAGGGCAGATCCACATTTGCCAACTTACAAAACTGGGCAAGAGAACATGTCAGTCGGCCCGAGGGCCGCAGAGACTGCCACGCCAGGAAGGTGGCTGCAGTGATGATAGGCAAGGGGTGCCGCCCCGTCACGAGCCACGTCTCATTTGCCAGCTCCACCAGCTGCAAGGTTCGAGACAGCATCTTGTCTTTGTCCTCCACATACTTGGCTGGCATGGATGGGTTAGCCTGGAACAGTTTGAAGCTGGAAGAACCAGAAGGAAGGTCAAGGGAATGACGGGTGTTCTTCCAGGGAGAGAAGGGCAGTCTACCCAAGGTGGATGGGGAAGCTGTTCTGTCCTAGGGACAGTCAAGGTCACTGGGGAGAGAGGCACTGAGAAAGAGGGGCGGGAAACGTGCCAGGTAAAGGGCGCTAACATAGCTGAGCACCTTCCTAGGGCACAATTCCAGTGTCCTCATTTACTCCATGGAACGTGTACCATTACATAGAAAGTGTACCATTACATAGAATGTGTACCATTACATAGAAAGTGTACCATTATATGCATCTACTCAGGATATGACCAAGTTTCAACCATTACTGTTTGGGGTTGGTTGGTTTGGTTTTTTTTAACACAGGGTCTCATCATGAAATCCAGGCTGGTCTAGAACTCCAGATAACTCTTGCTTCAGCCACCCAAGTGCTGGGATTAAGGGTATGTGCTACCATACTTGGTCAGCCATTTTGTGGTTTGGTTTTGTTTTAAAGTATGCTTGTTAGGCCAGCCTGGGCTGTGCGAGACTGTCTAAAACCAAACAGCTAAGAATCTTACTAAAACCTCAGCTTCGAACCTTGTTCTACTATTGACTAGTATCTTTGGACTCGATATAGAGGTGACCCTGCCACTACATACAGTGACACATGGCCCCTGCACGTAACTCGAACGATCGCCATTCATAAAGCAGGAGTCAGGCAACTCAGTGGCCCTATGCCAAGGCTGGCTAAGGATTTTTTTAAAAAACATTATCCCAATCCTGTGATGGAAAGGAGACTGGAAGATTACAGCGTTCTAGAAAAGTACAAATGGTATTGATCTCGGTGGTAAGCGTGAAATGGGAAGGAAAGACCCCCCACCCCCTTTGAGACAGGCTCTGGTGAAGGCATGCATCTGCCAGGGCACCTCCCTACCCAGCCTTTCCTCCTAGACAAACAAGTACCTGCTGCAATAGGACTTCACCAGGTCTGCCAGGCACAGAGATGGCACATCCAGCCCCAAAAGCTTCACGATCTGCATGTAGGTGCCGGAAAACATATCCAGATCTGCGTACAATAGGGTGCAGATGGTTCCCATGGTGAGGGGCCAGTTATGTTGCCGGCAGGTGATTAGAACACAGCATCCGACTAACACTTCCTTCTTCTGTAGCCTCGCAGCGCGGATGCCAGACAGCTTATAGGCCTTTTGATAGTAGGAGACTGCTGTATCCTCGAACGTGGGGGGCAGCTTCAGAATCCGGCACAGGTCTCTCACCCGACGGAGGTCTAGGAAAACACACAGCAAGCAGAGAGGTCAGCTAGGGCTTAATTCAGGTCTGTTAAACTTGCCCTATATAGCAGATGCACAAATAATACGCCCTCCTGTACTAACAGAACACTTGATGTGGCCATGTGTTTTATGGTGCTGGAGCTAGACTCGAGATCCTCAGGCATACTGGGCAAGCTCTTTATCCCTAGAGAACATCTGTGGAAAGGTCACACTCAACCCACCACCTTCTATGAGTTATTTTGACTTATGGACAGGGCAGTTTCTCATTTGTTTTGGTACCAGGGATTGAACCCCAAGCCTTACATATGATAGGTGCATACTCTATCACCAACCTACCCCTTAGCTCCAAAGCCAAGCTTTACCCAGGCTCCTTGAGGCTACATTAAGCCCTGTGCAGACCCAAACTTTCATCTACCACAATTCCTTTTAGTTTTTAAGACACACGATGTAGCTGGGCTGACCTCCAAGTCTATCCTCCTGCCTCACGTGTCCTGAGTGCTGGGAGTGTAGGCCTACACCACATCAGCTATTGCTCTCTTCTAGCCTATCTTAGACCAGTAATGCCGAAAACAAGAACACACAGATGGACTCAGACATCAAGACAATTTTCCTTAAAGCCACCGTATCATAAAAAGCTGATTCTCTGGGCTGGAGAGATGGCACAGCCGTTAAGAGCACTGGCCGCTCTAGCAGAGGTCCTGGGGTTCAGTTCCCAGCACCCACATGGCAGTTCACAACCACCTATAACTCCAGTTCCATGTGATCCAACACCCTCTTCTGACTCGATGGGCACCAGGCATGCACATGCTGCACACACATACATGCAATTAGAACACCCATACAAATATGAAAACCAAACATTGAAGAGTCGCGTAAATAAAAGCAAAGCTGAAATTTAAGGAAAAAGGTTGCTTCTCACCTCGTTGCTGGCTGCGACTAACTTGTTCATTTTCCCCTGTGCTTCGAGAATATGTCACTTCTGTAAAAAAAAACAAAAACAACAACAACAACAAAGAAAAACAAATAGCACAGCTGGCCTCCATTCATTCATCTCCTTGCCCCCTGACCACATCAGACCAGGGAGATTTCAAATTATTATGTATCTACTTCTCATCTCAGAGAAGATACCCATCCATGTAAAAGTAAAGGCTTTTTATGTCTTCAGTAGCACCAAATCCAGCGACAGACAGTACAGAACTATATAAAGCAGCGCTGGTGATTCCAATTTTCCAAGTTATTTCTCTGGTACATCCCATTTCGCGGGCTGCACTAGTCAAGGACTAGCCCAGTGGTTCCCAACCTCCTAATGCTGTGACCCTTTTTAATACAGTTCCTCACACTGTAGTGACCCCTAACGCTAAAATTAGTTTCGTTGCTACGTCATAACTGTAATTTTGCTAGTTTTATGAATTATAATGCAAATAACTGAGATGCAGGATGGTCTTCGGCTACAAGACCCGTGAAAGGGTCCTTCGAGCTCCCAAAAAGGTCGAGACCCATAGGTTGAGAACTACTAAGCAATGGCGCGGTAGGAACGGAGGTGCATTTTGCCAGTTGGTGCTACAAACTACCATGGGGTAATGGTTCGTGTTGTATTTCCAAATAATTTACCAGCCAGCCTTCAACACTGATTAGGTCTCACTCATCCACAATCCAGTATACCCACTAAACGCCAGACACCACAGTAGGTATTGGGGAACACAGATGACTAGCAACCTCCTCCAGCTAATTTACTTGGAGCGAGCTTCTCCCACATTTAACTGTGCACATGACCAAAAAAAAATAAATAAATAAATAAATAAAAAAAAGGCGCGCGGGGTGGGGGAGGGAGCTGGGAATGTGGGTTTAAGCACTCCCCCGCCCCAGGCTATCCCCAGGGCAGGCTCCACCAGTACCTCTGAGGTTGCCCTCGTCGCTGAAGGTGGTCGTAAGGACCCCTTCGGTGACCACACAGCCGCAGTCGCAGCACACCAGCTGGCTCTGAGAATAATGTGAGTCTTCCACGAGCTCAGAGGAGCCGCAGTCCGGGCAGCGGCTGCCGCTCGGCATCTCACCATCGGCCACACACCGCCGGGACACCCACCCCTAAGAAGGTATAACTAACTGGAGGGGCCCTGATTCCGACTGCACCTTCCTCTTCCGGTCAGCTGGACCACCGGCTAGTGGTTGGCTCCGCCCCCGTGGCGGCACGCCCCTTCCGATCTCGTTGGTGGACCCGGGTAGAAACATGAGTGAGAAAGGAAGGTTCCTGGCCTTAACTGTGTCTCGGGTTCTCTGGTGTCTTGAGATTGAGCCGCGTTGGGAGTTGACACATGCCAGAGATAAGGAATCGCTGTCTGCGAAACACTATTTTATTTATATTATTTAATTTATTTTCTGTTTTTGGTTTTTCGAGACAGAGTTTCTCTGTGTAGTTTTGGCGCCTGTCCTGGAGCTCGCGCTGTAGACCAGGCTGGCCTCGAACTCACATAGATATGCCTGGGTCTGCCTCCGAGTGCTGGGATTAAAGGCTACCCAGAGTCTTCTGTCTTTTAAACTCTATTTTTTGTTTGTTTTGTTTGTTTTCAACTATAAAATAAGGGAATTGGGCCGGACAGGGTGGTACACACACCTATAATTCTAGTGCTTGGGAGATGGAGGCGGGAGGATGAGGAGTTCAAGGTCATCCTCTTCTATACAACAAGCTGGAGACCAGTCTGGGCTACAAGAGGCTTTGTCACAAATAAATGAAAAGGGTGTGGTGGCATACTCCTTTAATCCTAGCTTTTGGGAGACAAAGAGTTTGAGGCCAGCCTGGTCTACATATCAGTTCAGCTCAGCCAGAACAACATAGTAAGAACCTGTCTCTAAATAAATAAAAAATGAGATCGTTGAATTAAAATCTTGAGTGGTAGACTTAGATGTCTTTAGAGAGTAATATACAACAAACAAACACCCCCCTCCCATAGTTCTCACCTTAAAGAGGATAAGCCAAAGTTTATTCTAGAGCCAAAAAGGAGGATTAGCACCCAGGAACAAATTCAAGTACAAACAAAGCCATATATCAAATTATTCACCAGATACAAAGGTGGGGGCCACAGGTGGGCATGCTAGGGGGTAATGGGTAAACCTCTCCTATGGGTTTCAGATGCTATCTGACATTCTAGATTCTGGAATGGTAGAAGCTAGCAGCTGGGTAAGAATACATTTTAAGTTGTTAGGGTTTTGTTTTGTTTGTTGTTTGTTTGTTTTGAGACAGGGTCTCTACTTAGCTCTGGCTGTCCTGGAATTCACTATCTAGGCCAGGTTGGCCTCAAACTCACAGAAATCTGCTTGCCTCTCTCTACTGCCTGAGTGCTGGAATTAAAGGCATGTGCCACCACATTTGGCCTACATTTCTTTTTTAAGGGAAGAAAATACACTCGTTGGTAGGCATGTTTTCTCTCTCCTCTCTGCCCTTCTCCTGCTCCTCTCTTCTTTCAACTTCAGCGCTCATCAGGTATCTTTGGATGAAGTAATATGGAGTCGTGAGGCTTTTGGCAAACTGGAGGATACAGGCAGATTCAGATCTGTTTAAAACCTTGAACTTTGAGCTGTCCTGGTGGCACACACCTTTAATTCTAGCACTCAGGAGGCAAAGGCAGGCAGAGCTCTGTGAGTCCAAGGGCAACTGGATGTACAATAGTGAGTTCCAGGCCCACTAGGGCTAGATAGACCCTCTCTAAAAATTTTTTTGTTTGTTTTGTTTTTGGAGACAGGGTTTCTCTGTGTAGTTTTTTGGTGCCTTTCCTGGAACATGCTTTGTAGACCAGGCTGGCCTCGAACTCACAGAGATCCGCTTGGCTCTGCCTCTTGAGTGCTGGGATTAAAGGCGTGTGCCACCACCGTCTGGCAAAAAAAAATTTTTAAAGAAAGAAAAGGGGAAAAAAATCTTGAACTTTAAGCTAAGAGTGGCACATGCTTGCAGTCGCAGAACTTGGGAAGTGGAGGCAGGAGGATCAAGAGTTAGAAACAAGCCTGGCCTACATGAAAACTTGTCTCAAAAAAAACAATCAAAATAAACCAATAAAAAGATAAAATAAAACCTTGAGCATTTAGATCCCCTAAGATTTGGACTCCAGACTTCATAGTTTCATATAGATCAAAGAATCCTGAGTAAAATAATGCTCCCAGCGATACCATCATAGAAACTGAATTACAAATTAAGTGTGCTTAGTGTGTTGGTGCCATTGTTCCACACATCTGTGCAGGGAACTTAGTCCCCATTGAAATAGTGCTGGCAGGTGAGGTCTTTGGGAAGTTTGGGCCATGACGGCTCTGCACTTCAGAATGGATTGATGCAATTAATTAACCATACAAATTAACCATACAAATGTATCTGTGTGTATATATTTGCAACCTATGTGGGTACCCTTGGAGGCCAGAAGAGGGTTTCACACCCCTTGGAGCTGGAGTTGCCGGCAGTTGTGAACTGCCAGACATGGGCTCTGGGAATTAAATTCAGGTCCTTGGTAAATGCAGCAAGCATTCTTAACCACTGAGACATCTCTCCAAACTTTTTATTTTAAAGTAGGATTCCCATAGGGCTGGAGAACTGGCTCAGTGGTTAGGAGTAATTGACACTACTCCAGAGGATCTGAGTTGGCTTCCTAGCACCCACATTGGGCATCTCACAACTGCTTGTAACTCTAGCTGGCCTCCAAGGGCACCCATAGTCAGTCTCTCTCTCTCTCTCTCTCTGTCTCTCTCTCTCTCTGTCTCTCTCTGTCTCTGTCTCTCTCTCTCTCTCTCTCTCTCTCTCTCACACACACACACACACACACACACACATAAATAAAAATAAAATAAAACTTGAAAAATACAGGATCCTATGTATTACAGCATGACCTCAAATGAACTGTGTAGCCAAGGATGACCTTGAATTTTGGACCCTGCTGCCACTAGCTCCAAAGTGCAGGGATTACAGGCATATGTCACCACACCTGGTTGAGAGTGTTTTCTTTTTTAAGATTTGATTTTTAAATTATGCACATGTATTTGTGTGTGTTCAAGTAGGTTCGTGCACATGTGTGTGCAGGTGCATGTTCGTGCAACTGCCTGGAATGCAGAAGAGGGTATCTGATCCTCTGTAACTGGAGTTACAGGTAGTTGGGAGCTACTTGATGTCAGTGCTGGGACTCTGATCTTTTGCAAGAACAGTATGTGCTCTTCACTGCTGAGCCATATCTCCCATCTCTGAGATTACATACTAGCTTATAAATAAGTCTTAATTGCACTCACTCAAAGTAAAGACTTTCAGGGCTAGCTCAGTGATGGAATACTTGCCTGTCAGCAACCTGGGTTTGCTCCTTTATAACACACACACACACACACACACACACACACACACACACACACACTTAGATACTATCTTGGGCATCATAGATAGATCCTGTCTTCTAAAAAAAAAAACTGCCGTGTGTGTGTGTGTGTGTGTGTGTGTGTGTGTGTGTGTGTGTGTGTGTACATGCATGCCAATGCATAAACGTGGAGGTCAGAGGACAAATTGTGGGTGTTGGTTCCCATGTGAGATTCAGGGATTTTGTTTTTGTTTTGTTTTGTTTTTTTGAGACAGGGTTTCTCTGTAACTTTGGAGCCTGTCCTGGAACTCCATCTGTAGACCAGACTGGCCTCAAACTCACAGAGATCCACCTGTCTCTGCCTCCCAAATGCTGGGATTAAAGGCGTGTGCCACCACCTGGTGGGAGATTTAGGGATTGAATTTAGGTCATTTGGCTTGGTGTGAAAGTATCTTTGCCTGCTGAGCCATTCACTGGCCCCATTATTTTATTTTTGAGACAGGGTCTCATGGAGTCTAGACTAGGTCTAAACCTTGTGGCTGAACATGACCCTGAACTTCTGATACTTCTGCCTCCACCTCTCAAGTCCTGGGATCACAGTCTTATGCCATCACACCCGGCTTGGCTCCTTTTATTTTATTTTTAAACAACCTGTGTTTAGCACAACTTTATTTACTTATTTGTGGTCATGCTGGTGTGCATGCACATGTGTGTGAAGCTGTCGTGGAACTTTCTCTGTAGATCAGACTGTCCTCAAACTCACAGAGATCCACCTGCCTCCTCCTGAGTGCTGGGATTAAAGGCGTGTGACCCTTGTGTGCCACCACTGCCTGGCCCACATCCAGTTGTTGTTTGTTTTGTTTTTTGAGATAGGATTTTTCCATGTAGTTTTGGTGCCTGTCCTGGATCTCATTCTGTAGACCAGGCTGGCCTCAAACTCACAGAGATCTGCCTGGCTCTGTCTCCCGAGTGCTGGGATTAAAGGTGTGTGCCACCACTGCCCAGCAAAAGGCATGCTTCTTTTCCTGGGGGCTCCAGCCCATAAAAGAAGAGGACTCCTGCATAATAGTCACTGATGGCCTTAGCATTCGAAGTCCCCTCCTGTCTTCACGTGTGTCAATTATGGAGTGAGGACTTATTTCCGGTTGTCCAACACCCTGGCACGTGTACACATTCATACACCTCAGGACATCTACCAGTTTCAGACAGTACAGTTGACACTTTTATTCAGATCTCTAAGAGCAACACAATTAACATTAGAAATAATTGTAGGTTTTTGTTTGTTGTTGTTGTTGGTTTTTCAAGACAGGGTTTCCCTGTGTAGCCCTGGCTGTCCTGGAACTCCCTCTGTAGACCAGGCTGGCCTCGAACTCAGAGATGCACCTGCTTCCTCCTCCTAAGTGCTAGGGTTAAAGGTGTGTACCACCACCGCCTGGCAAAGAATGGCTTTGAAAATCTTTTAGGCTGGAGAGATGGCTCAGAGGTTAAGAGCACTGGCTGTTCTTCCAAAGGTCCTGAGTTCAATTCCCAGCATTCACATGGTGGCTCACAACCATCTGGAATGAGATCTGGTGCCCTCTTCTGGCCTGCAGGCGTACATGCAGGCAGAACACTGTATATATAATAAGTAAACAAGTCTTTAAAAAAAAAAAAAAAAAAAAAAAAAGAGATTCTCGAGTTCAATTCCTAGCAACCACATTGTGGCTCAAACCATCTAGAATGAGATCTGGTGCCCTCTTCTGGCCTGCAGGCGTACATGCAGACAGAACACTGTATACATAATAAACCTTAAAATGTAAATAATAAATAAATCTTAAAGAAAAT